ACATTAGCAATGAATATAAAGTAATAAAGCAATTTTCAAGTTCGTATTATTATAAGATGTATTATAACATGAAATATGCGTGACGATAGCCGACTGGATCTTCATGACATCAATTCTCAATTTAATAGGACATATCCTACATGCTGAACAATAAATCAAATTAGCATGTTATCTGTGTAGGAAATTTCCAAGAAATTTAAAGCCACTTCGATTGTCAAACCACAGAATTTAGTGATATGGAAAAACTAAACTTAAATGCAGTAGCACCAATTATATAGAGATGATGTAGATAAGTTTCAGCATAAAGATGACTGCCAATTTCCAGCACAATGATGACCATTGATTTCCAACATAAAAAAATTTGCAGGGTGGGTAAAGAGAAAAACAAGGCATAATTGTTGACAAAATGGTTTCTTTAAATTTACTTGTACAAGAGCTAATTGAAAAACCCAATTTTTCCCAATACAAAAATAGTGCATAAATCAAAGAAACCAAAAACATCACTGAAGAGCCTTTAAACAATGATGTTTATTTTCTCTATCTTTGCAGAAAATGGCAAGGAAATCAAAGGAACCGCCGTCACAGAAAAAACCCTTCCACTCTCTTTCAATTCAAGCAATTTTAAGCTATTATCTCTCTCACTCTCTCTCTCTGTCTCTAAAAAGAATTGCACAACCAGTGGCAAAAAATATAATATTGCTAAAGTGAAGCAAACATATCCAGTGGAGAAGGGATAAAAAACACAGTAACTATATCACAAGAAGAGAAGTAGATCATTACTAGTAGAGAGATATCACAACCAGCATGAGCAAATGTTAATACAGACAGAAAATATAGTATTTCTAACTTAAATCAATCAGAGACCAGTATAGACAGTAAAGCTCAAAATGCATCATGAAGAAAGCATTAATACAGGATATACAAGACCAAATATAAGTTCCATGGGAGAATTTAAAAAAGAGTCTTCTATGAAGTAGAGAAAGAGGGGTAAGAAAATCAAAACAATATAAAGACTACATGATGCTGCGGCTTCCCATTGGAGTGTAATTGTACACGATCATAAATCCTAAAGAACAATTTCATTGACTAACCACCGTTTATTCCTAAAATCACAATTCAAATTCGTCCTCAAGCTTGAAAGCCTGAGAAGCTGCCTCCTCCTCTTCATCATCAATCACAAAGTATGGATTGTGGACCTCAGGCCTGAACTTGTATCCAGTAAATATATAGAAAGCAATGGTGGCCAGCTCCCCTGCAACCACAGTAGTCCAAAGATATCGATAAGATGTAATTGTAGCCAGTACATACACCGCAACCCGGGTAAAGTAGATGTAGCAGATGACTACAACATAGTATTG